GAAGTAGTTGTCTCTGAATGAATTACAATGCGAGTTCTTCAGCGATCACTGAACAAGCTCAGTGTATTGATCGCTGGAACTGAAAGTACAGAAACATAAAATACATCGAAAGGAAAAAGGGATTATCATCAAATCACTGAGAGAGAGGATCAACAGGGCTACTCAACCATTTAGAGTAGCATTTCTTCCATGAATACCCTTCCCATCGTCTCCCCAAGTTGTCTCCCCAAGTTATCGCCTCCCCCATCTTCTCCGGCGCCGGTGTCGTCGGTCGCCCTTTCCACAGCCCCTTCGTCTCCCCAAGTCGTCGCCTCGTCGGTTCCCGTCCTCCATCTTCGTCTTTGGTCTCACTTCTGTCAGTTAAGCCCCTTCGTCCTCCGGTCTCGTCGGTTCCCTTTTGTTTTGTCGCTGGTCGTTAGTCTGTTTAAGTCGCCGGTCTTCACAGAGGGAACGATGGAGGGATCGATTCTTCACAGAGGGAACGATGGAGGGATCGATTGAAGGAACGATGGAGGGATCGATTGAGGGAACGATTGAGGGGCAATGATTGAGAGGATCGATTGAGAGGCAACGATGGAGGGATCGATTGAGAGGCAACGATTGAGGGATCGATTCTTCACAGAGGGAACTTTGAGGGAGCCCTAACGGTTAAAATGGAATGATGGGTTTTTGTTAGAGAGGATTAAAATGGTAATTTATTATCATTCAGAGAACAGTTACCAAACAACATTATTTCATTCAGCACTTAACCATTCTGACCCTCTCAACCATTCTGACCTCTTAACTATTCTGCACTAAATCATTCAACAACTGCCAAACAGCCCCTCAGATCAAATCAAAGTCTTCAATTTCATCTTCTAAAATCATTTCTTAATATTACTTTTACTGAACTTTTACTATGATCTATGTGGACGATATCCGGTACTTGTACCACTTTATTACTTGAAAGACAATATCGGAACTAATTGTGTACTTGCTTTTGGTTTTGATTGCTAAGTCTGTGGATGTGTGAAAGTAGACCTGTCACCAACACGGCTGCAACAGATTTTGAACCAAAGCCCGTAATGTTTCAAATGATCCAAGCAATGAGTCAATTTGGGTGATCACCGTCTAAAGATCCCACTCTCACTTAAAATCATTTTTAGAAATGACGGATCATTTTCGTATTCCCGGAGTTATGTTAGAAGCCTTACGCTTGATGCTCTTCGCTTGTACATTGAGAGATAGAGTTAGAGAATGACTAAATTCTCAGCCACCTAAATCGATTGGTACTTGGACATTAGCTGAAAATTTTCTAAATAAATAACTTCCTCCAATGAAGAATGTGAAGTTTAGAAATGACATTTTAATGTTTCAACAAACTGAGGATGAAGTGGTTTCAGATGCATTGGAGAGATTTAAGGATCTTATTCGGAAATGTCCCCATCATGTAATCCCTCATTGTATCCAATTGAAAACATTTTATAATGGACTTTCTAGTGCCGACTAAAATTATCTTTGTTGCTAAAGTTGATGGTACTTTCACTTCTAAAACTTATAACGAAGGATATGACATTTTAGAGAAAGTCACCAATAATAATACTGAGTGGTCAAACCCTCATGCTGTTATTCCAAAAACCGCGTCGGAAGTTTATGAGATTGATGTCATCACCGCCTTAAATGCACATATTATAGTTTTGACTAATTTGGTTAAAAACAATTTAAATCTAAATGGAGAAAAGAACCAAGTGTAAGCTATGATGACAAATCCTTCCATAAATGAATCATGTGTTTTTTTTGTGGTGAGTGTCATCCTTTTGAAAATTGTCCCGATAACCCTGCATCGGTAAACTATGTTGGAAATCCTACTATAAATAATCCATTTTCTTCCACATATAACTTGGATTGGCAAAACCATACCAACTTCTCTTGGGTAGGAAATCAAGGACTTCAACCCCCCATGGTAACCCAAGTCAAAAATCGACCACCAAATCCCTCGGGATTTCATCAAGGTACTCTTCATGTTTACCAAGGCGGTCAAACCTCACAATCACATACACCTAGACAATCCATTGCATCGGAAAGTAATGGTTCATTCAAATCGTTACTTAAAGGTTTTATAAACCAAACCAATGTGACTTTAAGGGGTTTTGAAATCCAACTTGGCGAATTTGCCGCTAATATGAAATGTCGACCACAAGGAACTTTGCCTAGTAATACTGAAATGCCCAAAACCTTTCACAAGGAACATGTCAAGGCTGTAACTTTAAGAAGAGAGGAAAAACCGGTAGAGCCTAGGAAACCTCAAGGACCATCTATTTCTTTTGATCTCATGCCCACTTTGTGAACACATACGAATCATAGTTATCAATAATCTTCTACTATGTTTCTTACTAAAAGTTTTATTATATGTGCGTATAACTCCCTTAGTTGATTTCTTTTGCTACTTTTTGACAATTATAGTAATTCAAAGCCATCTTTATTATATTGCTATAACACATGTGAGAATGGAAATGAATATATGTACATCACCTCTAATGAATATGGAAGGAAACATATATTAGACAAATTAATGTGTCAAAATAGTGAATTGTATCTTACCATAATTCGGGTTATTGAATCATATTTTGTCATCAATGATGGACTTAGTGACAATGAATCAACGATATATAACAACTTTGGCATGATCGCTTGGGACACCATGGCCGTGATATGATGATACATGTGTTGAAAAATACATATGGACACCCTTTCTTTCGAATGAAAGGTAAGATGAGGAAATTAACGAAAACTACTAAATTGCAATCATTGACTTCTAAAGAAAAAGAAGCAACATCATCATCACAATATGCCTCCTTAAATACCTCAAACTTTTGCAAAGCATGCTCCATAGCTAAAACAGGATCGAGACCATCCTATGCTAAGGACATAAAACAAAACATTTCATTCTTACAACGCATACAAGGTGATATTTGTTAACCTATACATCTAGAATACGGGTCATTCAAGTATTTTATGGTTCTTGTTGATGCATCGATACGATGGACGCATGTCGCACTATTATCCACACGAAACGCTGCATTCGTAAAACCACTAGCACTATTATATGATTGGGGGCTCACCACCCCAATTATCCTATCAAGTCTATACGACTTGATAATGCTGTAAAATTTACATCATAAGCATTTGATGATTATTTCATGTCTATTGGGATCCATGTAGAGATCTTGTATCTCGTGTGCATACATAAAATGGTCTTGCAGAGGCTGCCATCAAAAGGATACGGATGGTAGTCAGGGCATTGGTTGTACGCACCAATTTACCCACTTATGTCTAAGTTATAAAATATTACATGCATGACTACTTATTCTCTTTTGATCTACTGCTAACCAACCATTTTTACGTACCAAAATATGTATAAATTGAACCCTCACAGCGCACTAAAATGGGTCATCGAAGACGATTAAGTATATATGTTGGGTACGAATCCCCAACAATTATCTGCTACATAGAACCTTTGATGGATGATCTATTTACCGTAAGATTTGCAGATTATCACTTTGATTAGACAGTCTTCCCGTTGTTAGACGGAGATAAGAAAACAGATTTTCCAAGGGAATGACAGGAATTGTCATGGAATGTTCCTACTCTATCTCATTTTGACCCCTGCATTTTATAATGTGGAAGTGAAGTGAAACGAATACTAAATCTTCAAAATATAGCAGACTCGATACCTGATGCATTCATTGATATTGCCAGTGACAATATCACATATATTGGTTGCTAATCTACCTGCAAGGTTAGAAGTCCCCAAACATGGGGACAACACTATCGAAAAGAGTGTTGCAACCACACATAGTGGAAGTGTGCTTGAGGCCATGGCTCCCAAAAGGAAAAGGGGGAGGACACTTGGTTCGATAGATACTCATCCAAGAAAGAAAAAGGAGAGTAAGGCACAATGTGATTCATTTATCATCAATACTGAAAATACTTATCATGGGATTGTCTATGATTATAGTTATGTCCCTGAATCATTACTGGAGGACGCTCCAAAGTCAATATTGATTCCAGAGAACAAATAAATCTCGATGAATTATGAGAATGCACATGAGTTGATGGAAAGATCATCCATACTCATGGATGATATATTTGCATATACTATTGCTCATGAGATCATATAGCACGATGACATCGAATCATGATCAGTTGAAGAATGTCAACAAAGAGCAGACTGGCCTAAATGGAAAGAAGCAACAGGCAGAACTAGTTTCTTTAGCAAAGAGACAGGTATTTGGTCTGGTAGTGCTAACCCCACCATGTGTAAAGCCTATAGGACATAAATGGGTCTTTGTCAGAAAGCGTAATGAGGTTATGAAGTCATAAGATATAAGGCTCGCATTTTGGTGCAGAGTTTCTCACAACGCCCTGGAATTGACTACAAGGAGACATACTCCCTAGGGATGGACGTAATAACTTTTCGTTGTCTAATTAGCCTAGTAGTTTCTGAAGGATTGGAAATACAGCTTATGGGTGTGGTTACTGCATATCTCTATGAGTATCTAGATTCAGAGATATACATGAAAGTGCTAATGGCCTTCCACTACCTGATTCAAGTAACTCTAAACCACAGAGTTCATTTTCAATTAAATTGAAGCAATCACTCTACGTAGGCATGTGAATTGGCCCCAACCCGTCAGGGAACCCGGTCCACCCGCTCCGATTGGGGACAAGGATTTCCTACTACCTGGGATTGGGATTGGGATAGGGAAGGGGGGGGGAAGGGGATGGGGACAAGGACGGGTATCACACTCCCTGCCCCGCCCCGTACCCGTTATATATATATATATATATATATATATATATATTAAAAGATTAAATATATATTATTTATTTCAACTAAATAGGTAATTCATAATATCCTATTTCCTAACTAAGTTTAGAATCTAAAATTGTTATTTTTTTGGATGTTAGTATATAATTTGGATGTTAAGTAAAAATACAATTATTATTTATGTTTTAAATATTACTCCATATGGTTTTGGATATTACACGATATGTTTTGGTACGTGTGACGTTAAGTTCTTATTGTATTAGATTGCATTTCTTTTGATTTGATATTATTAATTATTATACGATGTTGTGATTTTTTGTATTAAATTAAATTCCTTTCGACTTTTAAGTTTATTGAAAATATGTGGGACTTAAACATGTGTGGTGTCTTAAATATTTGATTTAAAATAGCTTACATAAACGGAAAAAAAAAATCCTCGTTTCCCTGTTGGGGATCCTCCCCAACGGGATGGGGATGAGGATGGGGCTGTGATCATATTCCTCTGTAGAGACGGGGATGGGGATGGAGATGGAGATGAGGGATCTAGGACGAGGATAGGGATTGAGGTCCCCGTACCATTCCCTGCCTAACTTTAGGGATTAAAACAAATCGAGCGGGTGTGGTATACTTGTATGAGTGAATACTTGATTAGGAAGGGATATAAGAACGATAAACTGTACCCTTGTGTTTTCATAAAGAAGACAAGTTCTGGATGTTCAATAATAGTTGTATATGTTAATGATATGAACATAATAGGTACCTTAGGTGAAATAAGAGACACTGCAAGCTATTTAAAATCTAATTTGAGATGAAAGATCTTGGAAAAACTCGGTTTTGTCTAGGTACAAAACTAAAACACCGAGCTTGTGGAATCCTTATCCACCAATTCGCTTATATCCAAAAAATACTTAGGCGATTTAATATGGATAAAATGCATCCGACTAGCACTCTCATGATGGATCGAAGCTTGGATACAAAGAGAGAGAGAGAGAGAGATCCATTTCCCTCGAAGGATGGTGATGAAGAGTTGTTGGGAGCTGAAATTCATCTCAGTGCAATAGGCGCATTATTGTACTTAGCACAATATACTCGACCAGATATTGCATTCTCAGTGAACTTGTTAGCTAGTTTTAGCTCGGATCCAACACAACGTCATTGGAATAGTATTAAGAATATACTTCGATAACGAAAAGAAACCATCGAAATGGGCTTATTATTTATCTATAAAGAGAAAATGGGGTTACAATACCTGTTAAAGGTATTAACTAAGAAAGTGTTATCCCCTACAGTGAGACCCCAAATGATATATTAGTAGGCTTTGCTGATGCTGGTATCTTTCTGATCCACACAAAATTTGTTCCCAAATAGGATATGTTTTTACAATTAGGAACACGATGATTTCTTGGAAATCTACCAAACAAACCTTTGTAGTTACCTCCTCAAACCATTTAGAGATTATTGCTCTACAGGAGGCTATTCGAGAGTATATCTGGCTAAGGTCTGTCATGACACATATAAGAGGGGCTAATGGTTTAAGTTCAACCACTCAAAATCCTACATGCATATATGAATATAATGCTACTTGTATTAAGCAAATGAAAGTAGGATATATCAAAGGTGATAA